TAAAGAAAGTAGAATTAATAATAATAATATGAATAATCTGAATAATAATCCAATACAGTCTTTTGGATAAGCTGACAAAAAGTGACCATATTCATGAAATCTTTTGGACCAAAATATAAAGTACTACATTACGTCCTTCCTCATTCTGCTGGCTACTGATACATCTTTATTTTTGTGACACTCCTACAAGCCAGCACCCACTGCTGAAAATGGCAGACTTCTTTTTCTTTATTCATCATCATTCGTCTCCCTTTCACTTTCATACGGTACATGTACCTTTAAAGCTCTCATGCATCAATTTATCTCACTCACACACACCCAGAAAAATCTTTGAAACACACACACAAAGTTCTTATCTTTTACTTCCTTTCATGTGTTTTCTCCATCCCCTCTTTCATTTCTGTGGTTGGAGGACGGCTGTCTACCACCAGCATCATTCAGATCCCTTCTGGATGTGGTTCTGAACACGGTGGGGGCAGTCAGAGTGATATATGGCCGTAATCCCAATGCTGCAGCATGACACGGCTGTCAGTTGCCATGGGAGACTACATGATTTATACTCTGCTGCTGTGCTTATGGTTTGATAAAAGTGACGTTAAAGGCCTGTTCCTGGACCTGACAACATTATTCGCTAAGCCATACCATAAATGGTGCATTGGAATATTTTTCCCTTTTTCCAGCTATCATCATAATACAGGTTTCATCTTTTCCCTTCACGTTTGGTCCAGTTCTACTATTTTGAATCTTAGTAAAGGCTGATTTGTCAGTTAAAGTTCTCAAAAACTTCTAGTTCTCTCCTTCTGTCATTAATGATTAGGGTCAACTGTTCCTGTCATCTGTCATTATAGGATGTGTTTCATACACTGCTGACTTTGATTTTAAAAGGTCATTGGTCAAAGCAGCGCAGAGCAGGTATAACATCTGAGGGCTGAGCTGTGCATCAAAATGAAAAACATTTATACACAGATGGCTACTTCAGGCTGAAGAAATGGGTATTATTGATTTTGGAGGCAAGAATATTGTTAAATGAGACAAAATCAATACAGATAATTTACAGGGCTGTAAAAGAAATACTGTGTTAAAGCAACATAAGATATAAGCCAACGTATTTCATATTGTTGTTTTGAGGTATTTACGTGGTGATATAGCTTCACAGAGTACAACTATTTTTTTGGCAAAATTAGGACTCACGATACAGGGCAAATTGAATTATTCAAATAAGCTTTACAAAGTCTGTGATTTTATACCCTCCAGAAACACTTTCACTGAAAATAAATAGGATGCTAATCAGTGTAGTTTAGCATTATGATTAAACTTTCTAATCCCTGCACTAAGAAAATTAAACTACTAATAATTTTCTGTTGCAAAAAGAATAAAATTTTCATTCTGAAACGAAACATGAAACAGATTAAAGTTCACCCTTTTAAGCATTTATAGCTTGCTGGAGAATATTTCCATGCTTTTTCCTGTTTAGCTTTGTTTTTAGTCTTTAACATCTCATCAGGGAGTGATGTGCAGCAGCTCTTAACGCCTCCACATAATCATGGACCATTAATTTTTGCTGTCTGCAGTCTTATCCAGATTTGGTAATACAATGTCAGTTTTAGAATTTCCTCTTACCAAAAAAGCAAAAAAGAGCAATAAAACAAAATATTAAAACAATGAAGTAAAAGCCTACCACCAAATAGGTATTGATTAAACCAATTCAGTGCACTAAGGTGAAAGTCAAAGGCTAGATTATTTATTGTACCATAGACTATTGTACCATTTAAGACTTTCATTATAATCATGTTTGAATAAAAATGTATTTGATAAAACTACAAACTTCGATGTGACTCAGGAATTTTATGCGGTAGACCAGCTTCAGTTATAACGGTTCTCTTAATGTTGACATGCCTTTGCATTTAGTTCAATTATCATCTAGTTTGTTCTTTTAAACCTTGGTCTATGTTGTACGGGTTTCTAGTGTGTGTAGTGTCAGTTTCTGTGGAAGTTACACTCATTAAAAGTCAGGGTATTGGTGGAATTCACCCTTTGGCTCTCTGCTGCCTGGGCTGCAGCATTTCACCTGCCTTGGTGAGCTGATGTTAGTCTTAACAGTGCAAGTTTCACATTTCCACAGCTCTTTCCTCTTGTATATGTGGAAATTTGCATAAATTTTAAAGACACTGTTTTCTGCGACTGTTACGCTCATTAAAACTAAGGTTATCGGAATAGTTCCATAGTCATTTTTTGTTTCAGTTTAACCATAGTCTGTGCTGAAATGTGCTTGGGAGAAAGCCCAGATGCCAATCAAAGGCCATTACGCTTACTTTGTATAAGCGTATTGGTCTATTTTTCAGCATAAACGTGACTTTTTTTAGCGTTACGGCCAGCAACGCTGAAGTACGCCAGCAAGAACCCTGACATCCACCTCCGTATAAATACAGTTGTGCCTTAAATATGAATAAACTTTGTGATGAAGTACAGGAAAGTCACATTGTTAAAGCTTAGAGATAAACATGTGAAGAAGTTTAGTAGGTAAGTGTAGTTAGCTAATTAAACAATACAAAGAAATGGAAACGTCAAGGACATGGTTGCCCTTGGAAACTGATATGCCATGCTAGGAGACCTTTCAGCCAAGATGGCCATTTTGGCAGTGGAGATGTGCCTGAGGGGTGACAAGCTGTTAACCAAAAACATATTTATCGTGTACAAGCATATGCAAGAATGCAAAAATAAAAGGATGCACTATTCATGTCTTACTACTGTTTGCATTAAATGTTTTTCTTTGTGCTTCATCACAGTTGGAAAAAAGCGTTCTTTTTACACCTCTGCTAGTAGATGCTTTGTTTTATTATATTTTATTTGACTCATGATCACAAGCAAAAAAATCAAGCCTCTGGTCAGGTTATCTTTTTATGGTGAATGCTCAAATGCCCATAAGTTTGATGAACAGTTTTCCTGAAAGATAGGTAAGAAAAACCCAAGTCAATTTTTTTATTATTGCATATGAACCAGATCAACCCATCTGCTCTAACGATCCTCAGGGGGAATATCTACTCTATCAAATGTGTGTGCACTAGCCCATTGCCCTCCTGAACATCTCCTTTCATGGTCTGTCCTTATCAACCAAAGAATAACTTAGCAGTACTTATTTACATTTTAAAAGTCTATTATCAGAGCAATGAGGCTACAATGAATGTTAAAAACCAAAGTTCACTGGATACATAAACACTTCTTATGTGTGCACAGCAAGGGAAAACCATGAAACACAATTCCATTTGGTGAGGAGATCATAAAGCTTTGCATTTAACCAACAGATAAGATGATCCTCTTAGAAGTCAAAGCTGAAAGATAATTGTCTATTATACCTTCAAGCTTGATAACAAAAAGACATTTGTTATCGTTGGATATGACTGTGGCCCTTTAAGAGGCATGTTGCTGTCAATGCAGGCAGAAGATTCTACAAAGAATCTATTTTAGGGATTAACTACCATACAAGGCATGATTCTATTTTTTATACTTAAAGCTATTCATTCATATTTGCTTAAATAAACTAAAAAATGGTATGTTAGGTTCTAACATGACAATATATGAAAGGTTCAAAGGTATAGTGCCCTGAATCTTTGAATGAGATGAGCTTTTTGTCTATTTAACATTACACACTTGCCATCTATTCACTCATCTACGTCAGATGTTATAGATGTTATTTTGATTTAGTCATGTTCTGTCTTTATAGTCTCTCATGTAGATGAGAAACTCTCTATCTAATACCCCTTTGATCTAACACTGACATTATCCGTGCTTCTGTCTCATGTCATCTAATATAGTATTTAGTATAGTACAGCCCTCCCCCATTTTTATCGTGTAATGTAAACCAGAATGAAAATATGCCTCCAACCTTTGATCTAAATCTTCCCCCACTATTGAAGAGTAAATATAACATAATTGTGAAGCTTAGAATCTTTTTTGTTTCTTCTTCTTCTTCAGAATTTACCCATGGGGGTAAAACTTATAGCCTG